AGGACCCCGCTATACAGCGTATACTCCCCTCAATGCAAGTAGGGCCAATGTAATGGAGCAGGATCTTGCGTCAGAAATCCTGGCGATGCCGAAAAGAGCAAACACGCCCCCTAGAGCCGACAAGGCAAAGAATTGCCGATTCCACCGAAACCGGGGGCACTCCACCGAAGAGTGTTCGGCATTGAAGGACAAGATCGAGGACCTCATCAAACAGGGTCACCTCAAAAGCTTTACCACCTCCCAAGACCACGGGTCAAGGGAAATAGAGCATTTTCGTGAAACTCGTCCGCCGAGGATCCCGTTCGGCTGAACGCCGAGACCGATCACAGCGTCCCAGGGAGGACAATGACCGAACACGGAAGGTGATCAATACAATAGCCGGGGGCTTTGCCGGAGGCGGCTCCTCCTCTTCAGCACGAAAGCGACACCTCCGAGCTATCTGACCAGTGAATAATGTGAACCAGCCAAGAATGCCAAAGATGCCACCCATCACTTTTACTGACCGAGATTTTCGTGGCGCCGACCCTGTACAAGACGATCCCATGGTAATTTCGGTCGAAATGCATAACTGCATCGTGAAGAAGACGTTGGTCGATCAGGGGAGCTCGGCCGACATCTTATATTGGAACACGTTCGTGCAACTAGGAATTCCAGAAGAAAGCCTAGAACCATATCACGAACCGTTAGTAGGGTTTTCTGGTGAAAGAGTAATGACGAGGGGGTGCATCGACTTGTACACTCGCTTCGGTTTCGACCAAAAGTCTTCCCGAGAAATCAAAATCCGTTACATCGTTGTGCATGCGAACACATCCTACAATGTCCTGCTCGGCCGACCCTCCATCAACGCACTCCGAGCCATCGTCTCGACCCCTCATCTGTGCATGAAGTTCCCGTCGAGAGATGGACAGGTAATAACCGTTCATGCCGACCAGAAGACAGCAAGAGAATGCTATCTCTCTAGCCTAAAGGTCCGTCCCGTATCCGACCCCCCGTCAACGTTGTCAGGCGTAAATGTAATAAGACAGATGACAGAGGGCTTAGATCTCGACCCACGCCTGGGTGAGGAGGATCGAATCGAGCCAGCCGAAGACCTCGTTCCTTTCCAACTCGGGCAAACACCCGAACAGGTCACACACATAGGATCTCAGCTGAACGAAAATGATTCGAACCAGGTGAAGCGAGCGGTTCAAGACAATAGAGACTTGGTTGCATGGAAGGCGTCGGATATGCCGGGGATATACCCTAGATTCCTGTGTCACCGACTAGCAGTATGTAGAGACGCTCGGCCGATCGCACAGAAGAAAAGAAAAATGGGCGATGAAAAGAGAAAGGCAGCCGATGCCGAGGTGAAAAAATTGTTGCAAGCAAAGTTCATCAGAGAGGTCACTTACACGACTTGGCTAGCCAACGTAGTATTAGTCAGAAAAAACAATGGGAAGTGGAGAATGTGCACCGACTATACCGACCTCAATAAGGCCTGCCCCAAGGATGCTTACCCACTCCCTTGTATCGACCGACTAGTTGACGGAGCGTCCGGACACTCAATCTTCAGCTTCTTGGATGCGTATTCCGGTTACAACCAAATAAGGATGCACTCGGCCGACGAGGAGAAGACGGCGTTCATAACCGAGAGTGCCAACTTTTGTTATAAAGTGATGCCGTTTGGGTTGAAGAACGCCGGAGCGACCTACCAGAGGTTAATGGACAAGGTGTTTCAGGGTCAAATCGGCCGAAACATCGAAATATATGTGGATGATATGGTAGTCAAGTCCAACTCTCTGTCCGGACACTTAGCCGACTTAGCCGAAATCTTCGGTGAGCTCCGCAAGCACAACATGAGACTCAACCCCGAAAAGTGCACCTTCGGGGTCAAAGGAGGCAAATTCCTAGGTTTCATGCTATCCGCGAGAGGCATAGAAGCGAACCGAGACAAATGCCAGGCCGTGTTAGACATGCGAAGCCCGAGCAACCTTAAGGAACTGCAGCGCCTCTCGGGAAGGTTGGTCGCCCTATCCCGATTCCTCCCACGGCTAGGCGACAAGATCAGTCCGATGACAAAACTCTTGCGAAAGGCTTCGGCCTTCTCATGGGATGAACAATGCGAAGCCGCCTTCGCAACGATGAAGACAACCCTGGCGACCCCGCCGACCCTCTTGGCCGTGTCCGAGGAGGCGATCAGTTCGGTTCTGGTGCAAGAAAAGGAAGGCACCCAGGCTCCTATATATTTTATCAACCGACAGCTGCAGGATTCTGAAACCCGATACCAATTGATAGAAAAGGTGGCACTCAGTTTAGTACATTCTTCTCGACGCCTACGTCATTACTTCCAAAGCCACCGAGTTATCGTGCATACCGACTGTCCAATCGCTAAGGTACTAAGCAAACCCGAACTCGCCGGAAGGATGATGGCCTGGTCAATGGAACTCTCGCAATTTGATATTACCTTTAAGCCGAGGGGACCGATCAAGGCCCAATGCTTGGCCGACTTCATAAACGAACTTCACCCTCACGGCCAATTTGAACAACAGTGGTGGACCCTCCATGTAGACGGATCCTCAAACAACCAAGGGAGCGGGGCAGGGGTAATCTTAGAAGGACCGAGAGGGATAACTTTAGAGCAATCTTTGCGCTTCCGGTTCAAAGCTTCAAATAACCAAGCCGAGTACGAAGCTCTATTGGCCGGATTAAGGTTGGCCGAGGACATGGGTGCATCAAGAATCAAGTGTCGCACCGATTCCAAAGTAGTGGCCGAGCAGGTGGGCGGAAATTTCCAAGTAAAGGACCACAACATGATGAGATACTATCATGCCTATCAAAAATTGAAGGCGAATTTCCAGGAGGTGTTGGTCGAACACATCCCCCGCGAAGACAATACCCGGGCCGACCAGTTGGCTAGGTTGGCCGCAACCAAGAAGCCGGGCCACTTGAGAACGATCATTCAACAAGAGATCGACCACCCCAGCATTGAAGCCGAGATGGTGGCAAATGTTGACGCTAAGCTAGCCGATCGTGACGATCCCCCTGATTGGCGGGGTGAACTGAAGGCATACCTCACCAGTGGAAGCGCACCCACCGAACCGACCGAGGCCAAGCGATTAAGAACCCAAGCCAGTAGATACGTTGTCATCGCCGACCAGCTGTACAAACGTGGTTTCTCTACCCCACTACTCAAGTGCCTAAATCCCGTCGAGGCTGACTATGTGACGCGAGAAGTACATGAAGGTATATGGGGACTGCATTCGGGGGCGAGGACGACCGTCTCTAAACCTCTACGTGCCGGGTACTATTGGCCGACCATGAACACCGACTGTGCAGCATTCGTAAAGAGATGCCAGCCATGCCAGAGACATGGCAACTTGATTCATCAACCGGCCGAGCAGCTACATTGCATTCCTCCAGCCTGGCCGTTCGCCACGTGGGGGGCCGACATACTCGAACCATTCCCACTTGCCAAAGGACAATGCAAGTTCCTCATCGTCGCCGTCGACCTATTCACCAAATGGATCGAAGCCGAGCCCTTGGCATGCATTTCGGCTCATCAAGTCCAGAAATTTCTATGGAGGAACATCATTACCCAGTTCGGTGTCCCACACACTCTGGTGACCGACAATGGCCTTCAATTTACCGACCGAAAACTAAATGAATTCCTGAACGGCTTGGGCGTACAGCATAAGGTCACGTCGGTCGAACACCCGCAGACGAATGGTTAGGCCGAGTCGGCCAATAAAGTCATCTTGGTAGAGTTGAAGAAACGCCTTGGAGAAGCAAAAGGGGCATGGGCCGAGCAGTTACCCGAAGTGCTATGGGCCTACCGATGCACCCCCCAGTCGACTACGCAAGAAACTCCTTTTCGCCTAGTCTATGGATCCGATGCAATGATCCCAGTGGAAATCGGGGAACCTTCGTTCCGCCGAGCCCACTACGACGAGTCGAACAACGAAGCCGAGCTCCGGGAAAACCTGGATAGCGTGGAAGAAATTCGAGACCAAGCACAAGTTGTGGCCGAGGCCACCAAACAACGTTACAAAAGAAGATTTGACAGCAGGGTAAAGCCTAGAGAATTCCGCGCAGGCGATCTCATTTGGAGAGCCATAGGCGAGGCAAGGAAAGATCCGAGACATGGCAAACTCGCCCCAAACTGGGACGGTCCATTCTGAATCCGACACAACCTGAACAACGAAGCGTACAAGCTGGAGCACCTATCGGGAGAACCAATTCCGAGAACTTGGAATTCTTGTCATTTGAAAATGTATTACAGCTGATGTACCAGTGCACTCTTTTCCTTAGCCGACTCTTTTTTCCCTAAAGAGGGTTTTGGGTCGGCAAGGTTTTTAACGAGGCACTTCATTAATAAAAGTTCCAAAATCTTATTATATCGTTTGCAATTTTATTGTACGCCCAGGTCGAGCACTACGCGTGGAAGCAGTGACACCGACCAACGTTCGGTCGACGACGAAGAACACACTCGCGCCCCAGGTTTCCCTCCCAAGTACCCTCCTCGGCCAAGGATGTGCTTGGGCCGAGCACTATGTCGACGACGACGACACCGACCAACGTTCGGCCGACGACTAAAAACACACTCGTGCCCCAGGCCGAGTACTACGCACAACGCGTACTAAAACCCGAGAAATCCTCGGTCAAGTTTGAAATGTGCACTCGCGCCCCATGTTTCCCTCCCGAGTACCCTCCTCGGCCAAGGATGTGCCTGGGCCGAGCACTATTTCGACGGCGACGACACCGACCAACGTTCGGTCAACGACGAAGAACACACTCGCGCCCCTGGCCGAGCACTACACACAACGCGTATTAAAACCCGAATAATCCTCGTATAAACACAAGCCGAAGCTTCGATGACCTAACGTTCACGGAAACCGAACACACTAGTATAAACAAACACAACGCGCATCGAACCGTCACAAATCACAAAATCCGACCTCTCGGCCACACATACAACTCGGTTTATGTTAATATCATTTAACACGTAAACACGAAAAGTTGAAAAGAAAATTCAATTAAGTATTATCGACCAAAGCGGCTACTTACAAAAAATTAAACATCTACCGGCGCCGATGGCCAAGTTACAAAAAGGCACTAACGGCCCGGTTACAAAAAGCAAGCAAACCTACTCTACCAGAATCGGTTCCTACATCGCGGCCGAGACATCCGAATTACCATCACCTACCACGTCTATAACTGGATCATCTTGCTCCGAAGGCGGAGGTACCGGCCCCTGCGTGGAGATGCCTCGGCGAGGATCCTCGTCATCAGGGCTGGCTCCCTTTGGGAACTTGCCATAACTGATGTACTTACCCCCATAAAAATCTCGACTGACGTCAAAGTTAAAGTCAACCGGGATCTCGCAGAAGTATTGGGCTTGCTGGACTGCTTGCTGGAACCCCGCATCATGTTGTTCGAGGATCTTTTCGGTGGCCTCGGCTTTGAGTTTGGAATGCGCCTCGGTCAACCGAGCAATCTCAGCCGCCGTAGCCGCGACCTCAACTTTCATCCTCTGCACCGACAGCTTCAAGTCATCGGCCTCCCTCCTATAGCCATCGGCCGATTTCTTTAGTTCGTCGGCCGACTCTGTAGCTTTAGCATTCGCAGCCAAGGCCTCCTTCACTGTTGCCTCGGCCTCCTTTAACCGGGTCTGAAGTCGCTCAGTCGAGACCGCCGACCTCATCATCACGTGCTTGGCCACCAGCGAAGTCTGCACGTCGAGCTCGCAGAAGAGCTTGTACTCGACCTCCATAGACATACCTTCCAAATACTGGAGCCCCCCTCCGGTAGCGAGGTCCGGGCTAACCAAGTTCTCGAACTAGACGGCCGGGGCCAAAAAATTTGACCCTGCAACAACGGCCGGGATAGCAAACCCCCCACATCCGGACTGTTCCAGCGTTATTTGTTTTTGGCGTTTGGAGGAAGTGCCTGGTTGATCGGTTTCCACGTTTTGGTCGGTCTGACGTGGCCGAGAGGTCCCTGTCCTCTTTCTCTGTTCGGCCAACGGAATTATTACAGGCGAGGGCTTATCCCTCGTAATCCTCAATGCCGACTTCGCCGGTGGCACCTTTCCACTAGCCTTGGCATGTTTGGCTCGCTTGGCGAGCATGGCGGTCACGTCGAGATCCCCTCCGGCCATCAATCCTGCAACGAAAGAAGTTTTAACATCAATTCAAAACACTGCTACACTACTGAAGCCTAAAACACATACCTAGCAAGGCCATCTCGAAGTGAGACGTTTCGAATACGTCCAAGAGGCCTCGGACAGGTAAGCCCTTCGGCAAATTATTAAGAAGCTCCACAATTTCTTTATCCTCGGCGGGGAGCTTGGAAAAAGGTATCGCCTCGAAGCGCGTCGGCCGCCTCGTCCAATAGAAGGGGAATAACAGATTGTCCTCCCGGTCAAAGAAGTAATGTCTCAAATCCGAACCCCAACGAACCTTAAAGAACCCACTCTTAAATCCCTTATAAGAGGAGGTGAATGCTCGGAGAAATCCACGCTTCGGCACTCGAGATAACGACACCCATTTTACTGGCTTGCTCGGCCGGCAAATGTAATAATAGAGGAAGGCGAGAGGTCGAGGTGTTAGACCCAGGCATAAGCATAGATTACGGAATGCTTGCATGGCCGCCCAAGCGTTAGGGTGTAACTAGGTCAGCGCCACGTTCAAAGCACGGAGGACTCCCATCTGAAAATCATCGAAGGGCAATGTCACGCCGAGATCCTCAAACCAACACATGTAGGCGTAGAGGTAGTCATCCTCATCGGACCCCCGCTCCAAGAACACGAAATCGGTGTTCGGCCCATCGTCCTCGCACGCCTCGGCAAGCAACGAGAACTCGTCCTCCCCGCTCCCGAAACATTTCTCTAAAGACACGAAAGTATCCAACAGCTCTTGGTCGGATAACTTTGAAAAGTACACACTGAACTCTCCGTCTACCCATTCATACCCAAGCATCTCCACCGTTTCGTAATCAATCTTCACCTTTGGCTGAGTCCTCGGAGCGGCCACTGCTTTTCCCTGACCATCGTCAACCACTACCAAAGCATCTTCAATCGCCTCGGCGTGAGTCACCCTCGCCGGAGCGCTTTGTTCGTTGACCTGTCTGAAACCCCTATCGTCCACCTCGGTGGCTCGTGCTAAGGCCACGGCCAAAGTCAAAGGGGGCGATACTTCTATCACTTCGTCCCCACTGTCCTCCTGCTCAGCAAAATCGGAAGGAAAGACCACTTCACATTGTAAGGGAGGCAACCGTGATATTTCACTTGAACCTGATTCCTCTCGATCAGACGAACGGAACGACGCCTCCAAAGATGTACAAGTCCTACCCGAGGAATAGTCCTTATCCATTTATTAAGTAGAATAAAGAATACAAAATTTACCTTTGATCAGTTTACTCGATCACTTCTGAAGTCGAGAGCGCTCGGCGAATTTACAGCATGTAAATTCACCAGCAGCCCCCCTCCTATTTATAGGCAAGGTAAATGGGGGAGGTGAAAAGACGTCCCGACACCCCAGCCGTTCGATCTAGGTCATCCAACGGTCCAGATTTAGTAATCGTTGGACCCGTAACCGCTAGGGCTAACCTGGCAGGCCACACCCGCCGAGGCCTCGGTGCAAACTCTAATGGCTTGGGACCCCGGCATACATCTCTCTCACGTGGAGTCAGAGGTCTCGGCCTACATTTATCTCACCATGAGATCGCAATATTCGCTCCACGCGTCAGAGGGCTCGGCCTAGGATCTCTCTTATGAGATGTCAGAGGTCTCGGCCTACATTTATCTCACCGAGATCGCGATATTTGCTCCACGCGTCAGAGGGATCGGCCTAAGATCTCTCACGAGATGTCAGAGGTCTTGGCCTATATTTATCTCACCATGAGGTCACGATATTCGCTCCCGCGTTAGAGGGATCGGCCTAGATCCCTCACGTGGTCAGAGGTCCCAACCTACATTTCAATCACCCGAGGCCCTGACCCAGGCTACGCCACGCCAAGACTTATCAAAACCACCCCTGCCTCTCCGACGACGACCAGGATGTCACACGGTTCTTACCGTCTTCGTCTTTCACATCCTCGACGCTACGGGGGTTGTATACCGTATGGGGGCCGACCTGGCCGAATACCCGACCCCTCGAATACTCGGGCCGAACACCCGACCCCTCGAACACTTGGGCCGAACACCCAACCCCCTCGAACACTTGGGCCGGATACCCTCAAACACTTGGCCGAATACCCTAACATACCGATCACCCGAGAATCGAACGGAGTACGTCGGTATGCTCGGCCAAAACCATGTGCCGGCCCCAAGATGATTTCAAAGAGCTTAATTAACGTAATGCATTGGATTAGCCCCCTAATTTCCCGGGGCCCAGTCCCTAATCACGGCCCAATAAGAAGTCCTATAAATAGAGTCCCAACGAGGTACGTAACCAACTTTCAACTACCGCATTTATTACGCCGAGCACTTACTTGAGCGTTGGAGTGTCTTTGCAGGCACCCCCTTTCACATCGGACTACCCAGATAGGAACGAGAAGACCGAGACTCAAGATCCGACCCGCTACAAGGATAATTGAAGTGTGTTTCCTAACACAGGAACAACTTTTTTTTCAATAGATGTGGGACTTGAAGTTTTTTTAAAATATTAAACTTATAAATTTAAATATATTTTTTTATTTTTCCTGCGAATTAAAATTTGCAGGAAAATCCGCT